CTACGTTTGGGACTCTGGGGGCTGCATACGTCTAGAATGCTGAAGTACAGCAGGGATGCTGAGGCATAAAACACCCAGGAATTTTGAGGACAAGTCAGGGGGCACATAGAAGTTCAATGTCAGAAGAGCCTGCCAAGGAGATGAGCATGGTCCCTTTGGAAGGACGACATGCAAATTCGTGAATCTTTCCATGTTGGGGAAAAAAAAAAAACAACAAAAAGGAAGGCTGACTATAGGGGAGGCCAGGAGTAACAGCAAGCACCAAGTCCGAGGTGGCTTTGTGCTGGCCCGGTGCTTAGTAGTTGGGGTGACTGTTCTGGTTTGTCTACGACTCTGACGAAAATGTTTCTGACTTTTCCTCATTTCATCCATAGGTGCTTGGTGGCTGTCTTTTATTAGGTTTGGAAAATTTTGTCTCCATTCTCAGTTTTTCCAGAGTTGTTTTTTTTTTCTTTTTAAAATTAAAAATATATATATTTTATTTGTTTGAGAGGAGAGAGAGAGAGAGGGCACACACTGGGGGAGTAGGGCAGAGCAAGAGGGAGAAGCAGGCTCCCCAATGAACAGGGAGCCCGATCTGGGGCTCAATCCCAGGACCCTGAGATTATGACCTGAGCTAAGGGCAGATGCTTAACTGACTGAGCCACCCAGGTGCCTCTGTTTTTGTTTTTAAAATCATGAATCTGATTGAATTTTATCAAATGTTTAATTTTTAAATCTACTCGAGATGGTTTTCTCCTCCAATCTTTAATGGACTTAGTTATGTAATAGATTTTACGATAGTTAACCTTTCATGCAGTCCCAGGAAAGGCCCAACAGATCAATATTTTTTTCAGTGTGATGTGTGATGGGTTGTATTTTCCAAGAAAGGCTTCAACAGGATCTCCTATTTCACTACTCTTCCAACAGTAGGATTTCTTACCTCTTTCACTGGTGATTGGTTTCACGTTCCCTCCTTGGGAATCTAGATGTGCCCTGGCTATGGTGGAAGAGACACAGGGGGACTTCTGAGGCTAGGACACACCAGCTTCTCCTGAGGTCTGTGCTCCTGGAATGTACCACCATGAACTGAGGAAGCCCCAAGGCCCACAGAGAGAGGCGGGGGTGAGCAGTGGTCTCCAGCCTACACAGCCCAGCAGAACTCCCAGCTCCTACCAACGTGGTGGCCATGTGTGTGAGCCTCTTGAAAGCAGATCCCTCAGTCCCAGGTAAGTCAGCACCACTGGTGCAACATGGCACAGAGGCTAGCCATGAATGCCATACACAGCCCACACTGCAGATGTGAGAGCCAAATAGAGGATTTTAAGCCACTGAGTTTTAGGGAGGTTCATTATGCAGCAGTAAGTGATGTCTGATAGAATGTAACTGATTTGATGATATTTTATTAGAATTTTTGCATCCACTTTTGAAAGAAAGATTGGCCTATATCTTCTTTCCTTCTTCCTTCCTTCCGTCCTTCCTTCCCCCCTTCCATCCTTCCCTCTTTAATTTCTTTCCACTGCCCTTGTGTGCTTTTCATACCAAAGTTATACAACCCTTTAAAAATGATCTAGGATGCATTTCTTTTTTTTTTCTAGTCTTTGAAAGCATCCAGGTAAGTTGGAAATTATTTTCTTTCAATGTTTGATTAAAAAGAGATGAACTAGTGTAAAAACCTGTCAGAGTTTAAAAAAAAAAACCTATCAGAGTTTGATACCTTTCATTTCTTTAAAAGAGGTTTTTTATCTACCAGCCAGTTTGTTGAAAGGCTAGGATCTGTTCTGATTTCCTATTATTTCTTAAGTTAATATTTGTAAGTTTCCTAGAAAATTGTCCACATCTTCTAAGCTTTCAAAATAGGGACATATAGGTTTCATTGTAACTGAAGTATGTCTCCTCCTTCATGTATAATATTGTTGATTTTTTCTCTCTCTGCCTCCCTGATGGGACTTGCCAGAAATATGCCTGTTTGATTTTGATTCATCTTTTCACCCGTCAGCTTTTCTTTACTGCTGATCTTTGAGCTTCTGGTAAAAGTAGAAAGAGAACTAACAAAATAGTTTTCATTTCCATCATTCTCTGTCTTTATCACTCCTTTCTATATAATTTCTGGGCTTGTGATTTCTCTTTTGCTCTTTTTCTTTCTTTTTGTTTACTTTTTCAATTGAACCCTGAGCTTATTATTATTTCTGAGCAATTTTCCCTCAAAGTATAGCTTTAGAAGCAAAGCAGAAGTTTGACAAGAAAGGCTTGTCATTCAGTTCTGAATATTTTACATTTTCCCTTTTAACTAGGATGACCATGTCATGCATCAACCAGATGCAGATGCCATTGATGGTGAGCGGAAATGTGCCATTAGAAATTACACCAGGATGACAGCCAGCCAGTGGGTCTTGCAAATTCAGTTGTATGTACACCCATAGATTATTTCACAGAGTGTGTTTTGGTTTTCAAGTGTGTATGTGTGTAAAGAGCAAATAATTTCATTGATTTCTACTATAATTACATTGAGGTCAGAAAATCTGGTCTATATGATAAAACTTGGAATTTGTTGAAACTTCCTTTGTGGTCTAGTGAATGGTCACATTTTTATAAATATACACATGTACTTGGAATCCATCTGTTTTCAGGATTTATTAGCTCTCACAGATCATATTTATTAGTCATATTATTCAAATCCTTTATATATATATAATCTGATATATTATATTATATTTTATATATATAGGCCCACTTACTTTATCATTTCCTGATACAAGTATTCCAAATCTCCTGTTCTGATTATGGATTTTGAATGTTTCCTCATTGTTTACCAGTAGTTGCTTAGAGGTTAATATTTGTATGTCATTTTGGTGGGTTCTTCCCTTTATCACTAAAAAGATCTTTCTATAGCTTATTCATTTTTTATTTTATATGCTTTAACAACTTTTTTTGGTTGCCTGGCATACCTTATTGGAACCTACCCCTTTTCTTCAACCATTCTGTATGTTTGTTTTAGGTGTGCCTTTGAAAATCCCATAGCTAGACTAAAAGAACAACTACAACATCAGCAACATACAATGCTTTCAATATGACAATTTTTTTAAAAAAGTAAGTAGTTAAATCTGTTTACATTTATTGTGATCACCAACATATCTGTCCTTAATTCTTTCATCTTATTTTGTGCTTGTTTATTTTCCATGTTTTTTCTTTGCCTCCTGAATTGTTTCTTTCCTTCTATTGGATTGGTTATATTTTCCTTATTTCCTTCTACTCGACTAGTTCAGACATTATACATTCTTTTAAAGATATAACCTTAAATTTTTAAAATAAATACTGAACAAAGTCTACTTTCCATCAATATCTATCTCTTTCTTTTGAAACGAAGGACTGTTAACTTCCTATCCTGATCTCTCCTCAGTCATCTTTTCCTTCTTTGGCAAATATTTTATTTCTGCTTTGTTTTACAATTCCCCTGAAGTCAGTTGTTGTTAAATAGGGAGGGAGATACTTTACCTAACATTTCTGTGTATTCAGAGCAGAACAGAGGTGTCACATATCAGCTTAGTACACCACATCAATTGGAGTCCCTGATTTTGATAAGTCTGACAAATCAATTACCTTCATGGGGTTCCCATTTTTGGTCACATCTGGGAGAGATTATCTAGTAAAAGAGCTCTCTTATTTTGCCTAAGACTCCAGGAGTTGAATAGCAAGGAGGATGCTTATTAAGATATTCAGTAAAGGGAGAAATCACTGTGGCCTGTGGTCCCAGGAGTCCAGAGAGGTTACTGTAGGAGCAAACATTGTTTAGTCCTAGAAAAATGGGCAGAAGTTTTTTAAGAGCAAGAGTGATGTGACCAAGATGGAATTTTAGTAAGATCAACCAACGGCATTTACTACAGTTTCCAAGCAGTAGGAGGGGTTATTCTTTACAGAGAGGAAGCCCCCCTAGGGTGCTGTTCTGTTAGAGCTGGCAGGAATGGGGGAAGGCCTGACCTCGTAGATGGCAAGAGGCAGGAAGGAAGAGCTGAGTAGGAGGTGGTTAGAAGGAAGAATTAGAGGAGGTGGATGCCAGTTACACATGAGAGGACGGAAGGGGGGCCAGTGCTGACGTTAAGGACTCCAAATGGGGGACAAGGAAAGTCCCTGCATGCACACTGCAAGATTTCCATCTAGGCAGGGTTTGTGAATATGGGGCATTGCATGGTGCTTGGAGGTGGCTGAGACCTTTGGTGACACTGGCAGCCATTAGTGCCAGAGGGCCTCAATCCTGACAGGAGGCTTTAGCCACTGGGAGCTGTCCTGGTTGCTAAGGTACTCATGTGGGTAAGGAAGATAGATCACTAGTGGGAAAGTCATGGGTCTGAAGCCCACCTTGAGCTGCCTCTCAGGCTCAGGACCAAGGCTGGGTGGTTCTAAGAGGGCCTGGGCCTGGCCGAGGGGGCTGCTGGACCCTGCGCATCAAGAAATTCAGGAGTCCATGGGCTCCAAGATCTTAAAGATGTCTTATGTCAGGGGGTAGGATTTCAGGTGTCTCTTCATTATATTTTTAAAATCATTTACAGCGAGTACTTGTAATTTGTGTACTCAGGAAAAATAAGTCATTTTCCTCGCGGGGATAAGCTACCTTTTCCAAGCCCTGCCTGCTGTGCTTCCTTCTGAGCCAGGCTAAGGTCAAGTACACGTCTGCACTCATTCCAGTTTCATGGACGAGAACGAGGGCTCGGAGACCAGGGAACTTGCCCAGGCCTAGCGGACGCGGAACGAAGCCTCGCAGGTTCCCACCGCTGGCTCTCGGTGGCCCTTGGAGCTCGCAGGGCAGTCTGAGGACAGACACCTGGCAGAACCCACTCACCTGGGCGGCTCCGGGCTGCTGGGCGGGGCCCCGCCCGCATGCCCCGCCCCCCGCAGCGCGCCAGGGCCAGGACCACGCCCCCAAGGGTCGGCCCCGCCCCGCGTCTGGGCCCCGCCCCGGCCCCGCCCCGCCCGCCCCAGGCCCCGCCTCCCGCCGCCAGAGGAAACGGAAGTGGGGGCAGGCCCCGGCGGAAGCAGGAAGCGGCGGAGCGGGACCAGGCGCGGGTGGTGTTTGCTGTGGGGCCATGGCGGAGAAGTTCGACCACCTGGAGGAGCACCTGGAGAAGTTCGTGGAGAACATCCGGCAGCTCGGCATCATCGTCAGTGACTTCCAGCCTAGCAGCCAGGCCGGGCTCAACCAGAAGCTGTGAGTGGCGGCCGAGTCCGCCGGCGTCTGACGGGAGCCGGGGATCCTGGGAGCCGGGTGGGGGGTGGGGAGCCGGGGATCCTGGGAGCCGGGCCGGGGAGCCGGGTAGGGGGTGGGGAGCCGGGGATCCTGGGAGCCGGGCCGGGGAGCCGGGTAGGGGGTGGGGAGCCGGGGATCCTGGGAGCCGGGCGGGGAGCCGGGTAGGGGGTGGGGAGCCGGGGATCCTGGGAGCCGGGCGGGGGGCCGGGTAGGGGGTGGGGAGCCGGGGATCCTGGGAGCCGGGCCGGGGAGCCGGGTGGGGGTGGGGAGCCGGGGTCTGACCTGAGAGCCGCCCTTCTCGTGCCGCCCTCCTCTGGACTTGGGCCCGCCCCCCTCCCGCTTCGTTTTGCTGGAACTTTATCTCGAGGGCCCGTTTGGACACGTCGTCAGGGCCACACAGTCATCAAAGTCATCAAAGCCTGCCCTGGCTTGCCGTGACTCCTTCCCAGTTTTCTCCCTGGCCCTTCTGGGGAGTCCAGGCCCTGTCCCCAGAGGGGAGGCAGACTTCAGGGGGTGCTCCAAACTGCACCCAGGAAGGAGAAGGTTGTGAACCACCTGCTGCGGAGGTCTGGATGTGGTGGAATTGGAAGGGGGAGGGTGGCGAGAAACGGTGCAGACCGCTTAGGAACTTCTTTGGCAACAGTCCTGTGCTGGTGCTTGGTGCTGGGCCCTGGGGTGGACAAGACACACACACACACACACACAGAAGGAATGCTGCAGAAGGGCTCCTAGCTTTCTAGGGACTACAGACATCAAACATAAGTGCAGCCCAGCCTTACAAACCCAGGGCTGGGGGACTAGCCTGGTGATCTGTTAAGCTCCAGAGGGGAGCAGAAATTAAACCAGGTGGGGGATGGCTTTCTCCTCCGGGATCGGAGGGTGGGTTCTTCCTCGGGAGTCTGCTGTGCACAAAACCAGCTGCATGTTTTCTTTGAGAGAAGATTGATGTTTTTCATCAATTCTCAGAAGGGGTGGTTTTTATCACCCAATACTGGCAGTCTCTACTTTAGAAGAGAATTGGATATCTAAGGGTATTCTCTAGTTCCAAAGCCTTCCTGGAATTCTGTAGCCTTCTTGTGTAAGGAACTCTGGCCTGGAGCTCACCCCGGCCAGCTGGGTGGTGTTCCTGCTGTCATCTGAATTAAGTACATGTTCTATTTTTGCCTTTTCCCTCAGGAATTTTATCGTTACTGGCTTACAAGATATTGATAAGTGCAGGCAGCAGCTTCATGACATTACTGTGCCTTTAGAAGTTTTTGAGTAAGTATTCTTAATTTGAGTATAACTCTTGTTTTATTGTGTTATAATGACGCCTTCAACCACTGGTATTTAAGAGCCTGTTTGTGGCAAGCACAGCCTAGGTGCTGGGGATAAGCCAGGAAAGAAAATAGACAAAAACACCTGCTCTCAGGGAGCTTATGTTTTAATAGGATTAAACATTCAAAAGAAATAGAATGAATAGAGAGTTATTAAATGTGCAGAAAACATCATAGGCTCCCAAAGTCCTGCTTAGACAAAATGGGCAGGCATATCACTTTTTTTTTTCCTTGAGAGGCAGAAAGTCTTAGGTGGGCTTTATTATAAATTAAAAAATTCTAGGTAGAAACAGCCTGAGAAGTAATTTAGTGTGGTGTCTTCCAAACTACACTGGGAATGCTCATTTTAGGAGATGGTAAGGATTGCTCTTTTGTTGGGGGGAAAAGGTTCTTTGGCCAAGGAAATTTGGGAAGGCCATTCACTGTCTGCTGGGGGGAGAGTGGTGTGTGCCTCTCACAGTCGTGGCCCAGAGAATGCTTCCAGGAAATGGACTTTTCTGGTTTGTTTGGTTCAGGTTTTGTCACACTTGTTTCCCAGGTGAAAGAACTGCTAAGTAACACAGTGGGCTGTTTGGCTACTATACTAAGTGTATAAAATTCTGGACTTGTCCTTCCTCGGCCAGCACTGTTGTCTCATTGCCAAGCAGTCTCTCTCTCTCTCTCTCTCTCTCTCTCTCTCTCTCTCTCTCGGTGGAGTGGGCTTGGAATGGCAAGAGCAAGAGCATGCTAGTCCTTTTTGCTTTAGAATTGCAATGTAAGTCACCAGATTTCCTGGAACAGTGAAGGGGAAGGTCATCATCTTACCTCCCAGAGGGTCAGAGATTTGACTCCTAGTTACAGCACACCTTAGCATCTGCCTGCCCCCAGGACACATAGGCTGCATTCTTTCTAGTCTCGGCTCTGTCCTCATGTGCTGGTGGTGATGTTGCGTGTCCTCAACGTGTTCTGTTGGCCCACCGAGCTCTCCGGGGTCAGGTGGGAATGAAGGTCTCCTGCATATGGACAACTCTAGACCCTGGACGGTGGCTGCCTGCCTGAGGAGTGTGTGCAGGTGGAGGCTCTTAGCCTTCCTTGGGTATTCTGAGTAGTGCTGCTCTGGCCTTGAACGTATGGGATGGATGTCAAGACATGCCAGGTGCCTCTGAAGGGCAAGTGAGAGAAAGAGGGTTGAGGAAAGATTGCGGGACAGCAGGCAGTGCGGCCTGGGCCACCAGAACCACAGCTGTAGGCACAGCCAGTGGGAAGAAGGGGTTAGATTCATCGGGGAGATTAGGACTAGGCTGGCCTTGGAGCCCTGGTAAGCCGCAGATGCAAACTGTCCATGGATGTGCACAACGCAGGAGCCATTTCCAGGTCCTTAGTGGCCTTGGCAGCACACACTTTGGGACACACTGACGATAGCAGAGATAAAACTGTAGTCCTTGTCCTGTCCAGGACTTGGGGTTGATGTACTGGCAGAGTGGCACTCAGCCCTTGGGCCCTAGAAAAAGCCCAGCCCCGATGTTGCTGTTGAGACGGTTATTTGTTTAGGGCACTTGAGCCTGTTGGGTGTTTTCTTCAGAAATGGATATATTTTGTTTAGCATTAATCATAATTTTGCTGCTTTCATTCCGTCATTTCAAACACATTGCAATAAAATGGAATTTCTGGAACATGTGGTTTATTGATTTTTTTTGTTGTTATTTGTTATAATTATAGACCAATTTTTACACCATTAACAGTAACTTAACAGTATTTTTGATGTAAAGTGATGATTTTTTTTTTCTACTGGAGCATAAACTGGACTTTGGTAGTGGTGATTTCTTTTTCTTGGTGATGAATAATTGAATTTAGCCAAAGGATAGGAAAGTCTGTAAGGTACAGAAGCAGGCAGGTGGCCCACTGGTGATAAATGTGGATATTCATCTAGGCAGTATGCATGATGAAGTCTGTGGGGTAATGAAGACATTTTGGAGACAAATATCAAACATTTCTAAAACAGTTTTATAGTTTAGGAATTCTTGGAAAGAATCTCTGTGTTAAATTCATGTGACTTGGCTGTAGTTAGGCAAGTAGTATGCCAGGGTCCTGCCCTCCAACAGTGGTAGACCAGAGTGTAAACAGTCTTAGGGGAGGGGGAGGGGCTGTCCTGCTTGCAGCTAGCTCCCTGCTCCCTCCAGCAGGCCCCAGGCTCCTCTACAAGGGGTTCCCCCAGGGACCCAGGGGGTACACCTGGAGCAGAGGCTGTGTCTTGCCCGCCTCCCTGGACACATTAGGTCTCTCCCGTCAAGAGCTGCCTGACCTTACAGGTTATTGTGAGGATCAAGGCCATGAAACCTTTTGAAAAGCACAGATGCTAACGTAAAGTGGTAGGGCTACGAAGCTTGCTTGATTTATACATGGTTATGACTTGATTTTGTGAGTTACTTTATTAAAAGTAATATGAGATCACATGATCTATACTTGCATAAATGAAAGAATCCTGATTCACGTGGTGCCTGGATGCCATTTTATCTAAACAAGGCCGTGTGCAGTTATACAGACCTAACTCTTTTCCTCCAATCAGAAAACTGTGAGAATAGGTATCAACCATGAGTCTGTTAATTGAGATGTTTCATGTTTCCAGATACATAGATCAAGGACGAAACCCCCAGCTCTACACCAAAGAGTGCCTGGAGAGGGCTCTGGCCAAGAACGAGCAAGTGAAAGGCAAGATCGACACCATGAAGGTAGGGCTCTTGGAAGCAAAAGATAAATACTTACAAAGCACGTTTGGCTAACAGACCTCGTCGTCTTCTCCGTACTTGGTAAAATGTAAACTAGTTCACACAGTTACGCGGCTGAGGTTTCTTTGTGAGCAGGCGGTAAGCGAAGTGCCTCTCCGGCAGACGCAGGGCAGCGGCGTGGTCGCCTTTCTGTGAGGGGGTCCCGGGTAGCTGCTGTGGCTAGCTGTTCACGTTTGTAAGGCTTCAGTGTCTCATGTTTGCACTTCAGTGCTTTTTGCTTTCTTTGCTAGGCCATTTCCTGGAGTTACGGTTCTGGGATTTAGAGGGTTCCCTGTGTGTGTCCAGTGCTTGTCTCCTGCACCTGACTCCAGACTCTAACTCCAGACTCCTTTGGACCCTGTTCTGCGTCCTGCAGTTCTCCAGAGAGTTTGCTCTGTGTGTTTCTTTGCTTTGATGAGAGCTAGAAAACACTATGCATCTCGAACATGAAATATGTAGGGGTAGGAGTCTTGGGGTTTTTTCTTTTCTTTTCTTTCTTTTTTTTTTTAACTTGAATTGACTGAGCTGTGGTTCTAATTGGGGGGCGGGGGGTGATGGTTTTTCCTTTGGTGCCCGGTGCCATCGCTGTAGTGGTCCCACATGCAGTGGCCTGGTACTGTGCGCCCTCCCACCTTTCCGCCTGCACTGTTATCCACATGGACCCCCAGGGCTCGAGTCTGTCGCCAGGAATCCCCCAGACCCCTCACCTTGTGGGTCCTTCTCATGTGGTCTCCTCCACGTAGAACGCTAGCATGTCTCTGGACACTGACTGTCCTTTGGGCTCAGCCTGTGTCACCCCCTTGGAGAGGCCTCGTAGACCAGCCTTTCCTAAAGCATCTCCGTTGAGAGCACCTGATGAGGATGCTCCTTCTTCTTCCCTCTGTTCTGTCTCTGAGGCAGCTCCGGCTCCAGGACTTCGGGACACAAGTGTGCTCATCCTGCTGATGCCCCGGGCTCAGAGGACGCACTGGCCGAGTGAGGGGAATGAGCAGAGAGGCTGTGTCCATGACGCGTCTGTCACCTGCTGCCCTGGGGTTGCAGGGCTTCTGTCCCCTCCCAAGTAATCTGTCCTGAGGTTCAGGTGCTGTGAGGGTCGCTGGGGTGCCCACAGCTGCTTTTCTGTTTTGTCACTTGGGGACCAGTTGCTGTTGAGCTTGGCATCACCCTGGGGAGATACCACCTTAATTGATAGGGGGCCCTGATTGTACTGTTGTGTGAGTGAGTAGAAATCCCTCTGACACACAGGCTGCAGGCCCGGTGCAGGGGCTCCTGCTGGCAGTGACCACGGGGACCATCGCCTTCAGTGGGCGTCTGTGTGGTGCTCAGTGGCGGTCTGTGTCACCTGTCACCTGGGGTCTGCACAGGTCTTGTGGCACAGTTCTGTGGTCCATTGGACCACATATTTAAGCTTCTGAAAGATGCAGCTTACTGGTGGTTGTGTCTAGGCTCAGTGTCTCTGGGGGATGTCTTCTTATGTGCTGTGTCTTTGCTCACACCCGTAGTGCTGCTTTTCAGTATGACTTCTGTGAAGACTTTTTGAGGCGCTGGCAGATACTTAGCTGCTCTTGTAAGATCGGGTTCAAACAAATGTTATGCTGATAAGTAGGATCAAGAAGCTGCAGCATTTGGAGTAGACAGGTTTCCAGGTGCTCGGAAAGCTTTGATCAGGCTGTTTGCACACAGTGAGTTTGATGTGGTTTGAGTTAATAATTGCTTCATTAAATATTATTTGAAGATGCCTGTTACGTGTGTTGTCTGCAAAAATCATTTCCACCTGTGTGGCTGGCACTTAGGAGAGAGGCTTTCTCTGTCTGAAGTATTTATTTTGTGTTGGACCGAGCACTCCTTCAGATAGTTTATAACATACCTGTGACATGGTTCCAAGCTCACAAGCAGGTGCTGGCAGCCCGTCTCCCAAGTGTCGCCTCCATGGGAGCTGAGTAGGCTGCGTGGGAACCGCCGCTTGCAGGGAGGGAAGCACACTTTATGCTGAGTTTGAGGCTCTGGGGGTGGGGAGTTTTTTCACTTCGGTGATGGGTCACAAAGATCTTTTGATGTTGTATGTTTTTCTTTTTAGAAATTTAAAAGCCTGTTGATTCAAGAACTTTCTAAAGTATTTCCTGAAGACATGGCTAAGTATCGAAGCATCCGAGGGGAGGACCACGCCCCTTCCTAACTTCATCGTCCTGCTGTCCGAAGACCCTCCTGGTCTCACGTGTGAGTTGCTGTGACCTTCAGGCAGGCTGTGTCTGACAGCAGCACCGATGTCCTCCGGCCTCCCTGTCCCTGTCCTTGGCCTTGGGGGATGGCGGGGCGGGGCCTGGAGGGCTTGCAGAGCTGTGCCCTGGCTGCCCCTCTGTCCCTGACATGCATCTGTTCGGTCTTCAAGTTCTTAATTGGCCGGGGAGCGCGCGTCTTTGAGTGCGATGCATCTGATTCTCCTTGGCAGTAGTCTTGGGAATGTTAAGTATGATAGGTAAACTAAATTTTTAAAAATTCTACCTAATGGTTTTATTTTTATGTGCTGTTCTTTTTATTTTATTATGGTGTCAAAGAAAGCTTAAGAAAAAAAGAAAGAAAAATTTAAAAAAAATTGGCTTAATCTGAGAAGTATTTTAGGTTAATGTTTTGTGTTTTCAAGTATGGTGCATAAAGAATGTGTTCAATGTAACTACACGGATTTCAATTAGAAGCATATAATAAAACCTTTACGTATTTATAGGATTTATTCCATGTAATTATTTTTATAACGTTTTATAGTATACTACAGTGTATCTTGCGAACAGTTAATTATTACTTCCTCAAAGTGTGAATAATATTCATAAAATTTGTTCTGTGAGTATTCAGGCAGGAAGAGCTAAAGCCAAAGGCTGTTCCCCTGTAGTTGTTCTCGGGTCTTGTAGAGGGTGGTGCCCACGTGAACAAGGTGGTGCATGGGCGCTAGGGAAGCACCCGCCGGGGCTGCGCGTCCCACCACAGGGACTGCACACCATGGGGACAGCTGCCTGCACCTGGCCCAGCGGCCCTGGGAGCCTGTGTTCCCGGTGCCCTCGTGGTGGCGTGGGCTGTGATCCAGGCATGCGCTGGGTCCCAGGCGTAGGGGAGCTGTTGTCAGGGATAACCTGCAGACCACCGCAGACCACCAGCAGCAGGGTGACCTGGACCCAGTTATTAGAAAGTAGGTCTTGGTGCACCTGGCTGGCTCAGGTGGTTAAGCGTCTGACACTTGATTTTGGCTCAGGTCGTGATCTCGGGGTTGTGAGATCGAGCCCTGTGTTGGGCTCTGCACTGTGCATAGTAGAATCTGCTTGAGATTCTCTCTCCTTCTGTGCTTCCCTGCCTTCCTCTCTCTCTCTCTCTCTCTCTTCTCTCTCTCTCTCTCTCGTTCCCTTGTTCACTCTCTTATAAAAAAGAAATTGGGTCCTGTGGCGTCAGAGGCGTTAGGCTGGGCCCAGGAACCTGCAAGGTCAGTGTGCATCCCTGGCCTGGTCTAGATCTAACGATCTTTGCTTCCCAAGGCAGCCTCACTTGCCCAGGGTCAGGGGCCAAGCTCCTCAGGAAGTTGCTACCACATTGTTAGCAGTTTGATTCTGCAGAACTACCCTGGGAAAGTCCCACCCTGGGGGCCAGTCTTGGTGAGCGGTGCTCCGAGTCCCATAGGTCCTGGAGCCTCCAACTACCCTGACTGGCAGCCATTGCACAAGGACTGGGGGACCCGGCTTACCAAGCGCTTCCCATACCCCGGTCCCCATGGGTCACTCAGCTGACCCTCTTCATGGCGCCCTGAGCTGTGGATTTCAGAGTCGGGAGCTGGGGTGCAGGGAGGCTGAATGGCAGAGCTGTGAGTTGGGTGTTGGCTGACTGTCCATGCCGCTGCTAAGACACCGCTTCACAGTGAATTAGTAGCCAGTTGCCCTAGACCCTCAGTCCGGGTCCCAGAACGTGATGCCATGACTCCCAGGTCTTGGTGGTCTCCCAGCCTCCTGGCACGGTGTGTTTCTGCTCCTCTGCACTGCTGCCTGGTGGGTCCAGAGGCTCTGAGGCTTGCAAGATATAGCCGGCAGTAGGGTGCTGTTCTGCATAGCTGGGCCTAGGAATCATCCATGGCCTTGGGCCGTTTCATATGTGTGTCTGACCCTTAGGATGAACAGGTCGCTGTGAGTTGGGATGCTTGTCCGGGAGCCGGGGGTAGTAAGTACACAGCCCCGGGGGTGGGCAGGTCACCGTGGATGGTTCACCAGTCTCCTTGGGAGCAGCTTTCCTGTTGGGGTGTATGGGTGGACGATGTCGGAACCCTTCACTCTCTTACGTGTATGTGACACCACAGGCACCTGAGTGGATCCCCACGAGGTATAGGTATTGCAGCTTGGGATGCTGTGACATGGAGCATCAGAGGGCCTGCAGGCAGCCGTGCTGCAAACTCGATGGAGGTGTGACCTTGATCTGACTCCCATGTCTCTTGGACTTCTCCACTTGGAGGTCCAGGACCCCACGTCAGACTCAGGATGCGCCCACCCCAGCTCACTCTCCCCTCGCTTGGCCTTGGCTGCTCTCAAGGGCCTCAGGTCAGTTAAAACGATAATCCGTGGATGACTCCCGGTACAGTACCTACCATACTGTGATTGCCTTTTTTCTGTGTCTTGCTTACCCATGGACCACCGCCGCCGCCCGCCCCCCCCACGCTCCCACCGAATGCTAGTTCCTTCTTCGATTTTAAGCTCTTCTCCCCACCCATTTCCCAGACGGATCAACCCACCAACCCGGAAGCCCAGTAGTTTGTGGTGATGCGTACTTGTATCTACCACCACGAGGCTGGACCAGGGCTTTAAATCACCGTTCTGGGCAGTGGGTGCTGCCTCTCTAGTTAAGAAAACCAAACCAAACTGAAGCCCACCTTTATGCAGAAGTAGAGTGTCCATCTTTTTGGATGCTCAGGTGCATCGCAGACACGTGGCGGGTTGGGCTCCAGACCACTGCAGGGAAGCAAGTACTGCAAGAAAGCCAGTCAAGTAAGTTCCTTGCCTTCCTGGTGTATAAAAGTTATGTTTACACCATACTGCAGCTTATTAAGTGTGCAGTAGCATTCCACCTAAAAAAATGACATTCAGATCATGAAAAGATCCCTTATTGCTCAAAAATGCTGACCATCATTTGAGCTTCCAGCAACTCACACTCACCGATCCTAGATTGCTGTAACAAACAGAATAATAAATAAGTTTGAAGTACTGTGAAGATGACCAAAACGGGACGCAGAGACAAAGTGAACAAATGCTTTTGGGGAAATGGTGCGGAGAGACTTGCTGGACATGGGGTTGCCACGAACACCCCCTTTGCAAGAAGCAGGATAAAGTGAAGCACAGCAAAAGGAGGTAAGTCTGTGAAACAGACGCATCCCAAGACCTAATTTCTGTGTTAATGTCTGAGGATTTTCATCTGTTTCTCCGTGGAGACCCAAGGGGGGCTGAGGGATCTCCAGGGACAGTTCAAGGCCGTGAGGAGGGGTCCTGGGAGTGGGAAGGGCTGCCTAAGTGCACACACCTGCTCCAGAACACCTGCTGCTCCCGGGTGCTCTCTCTGGCTGCCCTGACTGACTGGTGTAAACCAGTGGAAATTCAGCTTATGGTTCCAGAGACCAGAAGGTGCCGGCAGGGCCACGCGCTCTCGAGAGGGTCCTTTCTGAGTCGTCCGGTTTCTGCTGGCTAACTCCAACTATTCCCTGAGGCTGCAAACCCCTGTCCCCAGGCTCTGTCACGTGTCTCTCCACTGTGTCTCTCACAATGATGTTTGTTGCCAGACTTAGGGACCCCTCCCTGCACCTCTACCCCTTGACCATCCAGGATGTTCTCATCTTGTGAATGTTGATTGCATCCACAGACTGTTTGGAAAGAAGATGACATTCACAGGGTCTGCATGGACACACCTTTCTGGGAGCTCCCAGTCCCCCACACTGTGTCCAGGCTTTGCTGCTGGGGGCTGCTGTATCTGTACCCCCAGATCTGTGCAAAGCCTGGCTGCTGCTGCCCACCTGACTGTCTGAGCCCCTCTTCCCAGGGGACGCTGGCCATGAGTTGGGAGTTTAAGACCGAGGGCTGGTAAAGTCTGTGAAATGTGTCCAGGTAGAGACAGAACACTTGTCCTCTTCCTTCTCCCATTAAGATCCTTTTCTACTTTGGAAAAAAAAAAGACACGGTGCTGAAAAGAAAAAAAAGGCAGGTCCTTGAGAACTGGCAGTGCCCTGGGCGGCTGGACCCCAGCTGCGGCCTTGAGGAGCGTGGGGAGGGAGGCTCGTGGAGGACCCTCTGGGCCCCCAAGGCAGTGCTGCAGAGGCTCATGTTGGAGTTTCATGAGAGCAAGGGTGGCAAGAAGTGACCAAAGCTGCGCTTCCTCATTTGCATGCTGAGCTTCCCTACCTTTGTCCGGAGCTGTGAGGACACAGTTTCTGGTGGCTTGTGACACATAAGCTCTCTCTGATCCTTTCTTCATAGGAATATGGTCTCCAAAAGCAAACATTTAAAGTGGGTTTTTTTCTTTTTTCTTGTGCTAAGTGTACTGCAAACACAAATGGGACACACATGTCCATTTAATTGTAGCACACGTTAGTAATATGGGCAGAGGACACTTCTTCGAGGGCCCTGTGTAGCACCTAGTCCTTGCTTCCTCACCACTTGGCCCGCACGCCGGCCTTCTGTGCGTGCACACGCAGATTGCATCCTGTCTCTACGGAGCTGGGAGGGAGAGCCACCTGTGCTGGGAACCATGTGGGTCCCAAGCAGACAAAACGGAACAGCTCCGTCCTGAAGCCGATTTTTAATCTGGGCACCCTGGAGCAGACAAGGCTCTATCACAGAATCAACATAGTCTCAGCCTCCAAACCACAGAGCAAGAATCTGTGGCAGGCAGAGGAGGAAGGCAGCCAGCCCTTTCCTCCCCATCTTCCCACGGGGTGGGTTTGTTTTCACCATGTGTCCTCGAGAACCGAATTTGGACTTAAAAAATGATTCCTCCAAAAGAAATGAGATCCTTATGGTTTGGGGTCCTGGAGCTGAACCGTTTGGAGGCATTCTTTGGACCCCCTGCCCCATCCCATTGGGAGCCTCCTGGTGGGGGCCTTGGTCTGCAGGTGACCCAGCCCATCCCACAGTGGGCCTCCCCATAGTGCCAGGCTTTTGAGGCAGAGGGCTTGGTGCCCAAACACACTGTGGAGGGGCTCTGGCTGCCCCCAACTTTGGGAGCCCTACTGCAAGTGGTCGCTGACTCCACGGAGGAAACGTGCCGCGGTTTCACCCCAAGCCTGCAGGGCGGTGATGGTAGCCAGTGTTGATCACTGGCTCTGCTGCCTCCTCTCATCCTCAGATCAAGTTCCTGAGGCTTCTTGTTCCCACTCGGAGGGATAGTGAACCCAGGACTGAAGGCAGTCACCCGGGAAGTCTCAGGCTGGGTTTGGCCCTGGGTGGGGGTCTGTGCCGAGAGGACCCAGGGAAGGGGACCAGAGCCCTGTAAGGGACGGGGTGGGCAGGGGGTAGACATGGCCACAGCGAGACTTGGAAATGTTCCCACGCTCACACGGAGGAGTGCAGGGCCAGGGCGGGGGGGACATTGGTGGTGGTCTGTGCAGGGCGTTTGCAGGGGCTCTGATTGCCTGGCACATCCAGAGTCCCCCAGGCCTGCAGGTGTATGGTGTGGGGGGAATGCCCTAGGACAATGGTTCAGAAGGGGCCGGAACA